TGTCCAGGGCGCTTCTCGCCAGCGGCGCAGGGGTGTCGGTCCCCACGCGGACGGGCAGCGCAGGGACCTGCAGGGACAGGTCCCAGGTGCTGGGCCCGGTCAGTCCCATCTGTCCTACCCGTCCCGTCCCAGCTGGCGCTTGCCCTCGCGGCGCCGTCGGGGAGGCTGGGAGCAGATTGTGGGCCGCCTCCCGCTCTTCTCCACTCTGGGACCTACACGCGGTCTGGGTGGAGGAGAGAAGCGAATGCACGGGGCTTTGCTTTTGCATGATGGGGAGAAGCGGCCATGCTCTGCAATTCTCGTCTCATTCGAGAGCTGTGGGAAATACTGGGGGCGTCCTAGTTCTCACTTCTAGTTTGTAAGTGGGAAACTGAGGCCAAGAGTAGGAAGTCACACAGCCAGTGGCAGAGCGGGGATGAGAATGCAGCGATTCTGACACAGGCTGTTTACTCCACGTCTGCACTTCTCCCTCTCCCAGCTCACTCCTGCCCCTGCCTGATGCCTGCTCCATGTTGCCCCCAGGGCCCTGCATCCTCTATTGATTGTAGTTGAAGCTTAGAGAGGACATGTTCTCTGGACTCGTAGAGATTAGGGAGGGTTAGTGACCTGGGGAGGGGTGGTGATCCCGGGAGTTCTGGGTTTTGGCTGAGGCTTTCTGTCCCTAAAAGACCCAAGGTCTGTCTCACATGTCATTCACCTCGTTGCTGTGTTTTCTCAGACCCCAGAATCAGGAGGAGGGCGAACCCTGACCCCTAATCCCACTGCATCCAGCCAATAGGAGGCCAGTAAGTGACCCCACCCCCAGGCCGCAGGCTTCTTCCGGCGCAGGTCCGCACAGGTGTTCTGCTGCTCACAAACGCTGAATGTATGTGCATTTACTCAGTCAGGAGGCAGCGTCTTGGGAGGAAGAGAGGCATTGGGCTGGGTGGACACAGATGTCCCTTTTTGTTGTGCTTTCCCCCTTCCTTCTGTGGGTCATGTTGCTCTGGTCATTTTCAGCCCCTTTTTCTTTTAAGCTGCTGACCTTGGGGCTTTAGTTGAAGGTCATAGTCAGTTGTGAACACTCACCGCTGTTGCTTGGTACGGTTAGAGTACTCGGTCACTGAGCCACAGGTTTCATCTCCTACCTAACTGGGAGTATGGGGTGGCCCCTAAATATAGCCTGGGAAATCAGAGCTGCCTTGCCGCCCCACCCTGGTATTTCCGGCTAGGATAGAGGAGGGGGGGTCTGGAGGTGTGGGTGTTGAGGGGCAGCAGTAGAGTGGCTAGTTTGCAGAGAGGTGTCCTGATTCCTCCTCTTCCCCACCCCCATCACCTGGCAGTGGAACAGGGGCAGAACTCTGTGACTTGGAGTAGTCTTCCACTCCTGGGGCCCTCCGCACCCTGCGTTGTCCTGTGCTAGAAGAGGGAGCGGTGGGGTATAAAGGCAGCCCTCTCGGTCTTGTTTCTCCACCCTGCCAGGCCACCATGGCGGAGCTGCAGGAGGTGCAGATCACCGAGGAGAAGCCACTGTTGCCAGGACAGACACCCGAGGCAGCCAAGGTTATCACCCTCAGACTCCCCTGCCCGAACTCTGGAGTCTTAAGCATCCCCCTCGCCTCCTGACTTCCCAAGCCCACTGATCTCATCCTGACCCACACCCCTGTTTTCTCCACCTCTACCCATGTCTCTCACCACACACTGCACTTAGGAGGCCAGGCCCTTGTCTTGTCACGGCACTAACCTTCATCCTCTCCTTGTCTCTTCGTCACTCTCGGTCTTTGTTCTCTGTTGGTCCGCCTTACCTACCTCTGTCGGTGTCTGTGTCTCCATCTGTGCGTCTGCGTGGTCCTGTGTTTCTGTGTGTATCTGTCTGTGTGTCTCTCCAGGAGGCTGAGTTAGCTGCCCGAATCCTCCTGGACCAGGGACAGGTAACAGTGTGGGGGCAGCCCTGGGGTGGGAGGAGGGGCTCTCCTCTCCCCCAGTAGAGAGAGGGCCTCTCCCCCCTCTCTCCTGTTTTCCTTTCCTTCCTTTCTGTTCTGCATCTCTCCCCTCGCTTTCCTCCCTCTTCCCCTGCCAGAGTTTCTTGACTCTCGCCAGAATGAGCATTCTTTTCCACTCTCGAACTCATCTCCTGTTAGTTTTTTTTTTAATTCTTACTGATCCTATTGTTAATTCTTCATTTCCTTCTCCTCTGCACCCGTCCTCCCCTGCCCTCCAATCCCTTGACCCGGCTCCTTCTCCAGCCCCCGTTTCTGTCAGCCTTACTCCTGATGGTGATCCATTTTCCTGCAGACTCACTCTGTGGAGACACCTTACGGCTCTGTCACTTTTACGGTCTATGGCACCCCCAAACCCAAACGCCCAGCGATCCTCACCTACCACGACGTGGGTCTCAATTGTAAGGACCTTCATTTTTGCTGCCGCTCTTGTGGGAGAGGCGGGGAGGAAGGTTAACACCCCAGTGTGCTGGGAGGGCATGTTAGGGGAACATTATCTCTGGGTCTGATCGTGGTGTGAAAGAAAGAG